AAGAGATTTAGTACCAAACCAGTGTTGTTGAACAGGTTTACCTGTTTTATCCGGATTAGGATAAGGAATTGGTTTTGTATCAGTACATAAATCTTTATAAATATTATACCGTAAATGTAATAAATAAGGATAATTTCGATTCCTATTGTTATTACAAATCTAGCATTATTTCCTCGTTTACCAGGAAATGTAATTGAACCATCTCCTAATAATTCTCCAACCATAGGATCTAAGAATTGAGATGGAATAGTTTTATCATTTTTACAAAATGGTAAAATTGAACATGCAAGAATAGAACAATCGATTGATTGTAAATTATAAAAAATTAATAAATAATTAATATTAGAAAGTTTAATAAATGTCTTTTATATAAAGAACCCTCCATCGCGTCAGGTAGCCAAGTATGAAGACCAATTTGAGCAGATTTACCCATAGCAGCAATTAATAAACAGATAGAGATAATAGTAATTAATTCTTCGTTAATAAATGGAGCTAAAGAAAATACTGTAGTAAAATCAAGATTACCAAAAGTCCAGAAAATGGCCCAAAGACCAATACTGAAACCCCAATCACCTACTCTATTCATAACTAAAGCTTTAATTGCTGCTTTATTTGCTTGTAATCGAGTAAACCAGAAGTTAATTAATAGATAAGATGAAATTCCTACACCTTCCCAACCGATAAACATTACTAAATAGTTATCACCTGTTACTAACATTAACATAAAAAATGTGAACATAGATAAATAAGCAAAAAATCTTTGATTATGAGGATCTTCACTCATATAGTTTGTAGAGTAAATATGTACTAAAGCAGATACAATAAGTACTGGTAATAACATAGATACAGTTAAACTATCATAAATAAATCCCCATGACACAAGTAAGAATTCTGAATCAATCCAGCTCATTAATTTAACAGACACTGGTGATTGGCATAATCCTACTTCGTAGAAAGCTACTAAAGCTAAGAAAGCAGTTAAAACTAGAGAACTACAAGTAATTAAATGACTACCTGTTTTACCAACTTTTCTCCCTAAAAATCCAGCTACTGTAGCTGATAATAGAGGTAATGTAAGAATAGCTAAATACATTATGCTTTAATCGCAATGCTACCTCTTAATCTATAATATGCAACTAGAATTCCTAGTCCAATAGCTGATTCTGCTCCTGCAATCGCAATTATATAAATACCATAAGTTTGACCTAAGATATCATCAAAGCTAAATGAACTTAAAATAAGTAATAACGTTACAGCTAACAGCATAATTTCGATGGAGATCAGCATTAGAATAATATTTTTTCGGTTAAGAATAAATCCTAAAATACCGATAAGAAATAATACCATCGATAAATTCATTATGTTTATTTGTAGTTAACCTTATAATTGTAATATTAAATTTTTGTATGTAATCAGATTTACATACAGAAGCGTATAAACAAAGCGTATGTTTGTTTATAAGCCCGTAATTTTTCACAGGGGTTATCAGTAAGTTCTCGTATTATATATGCGAAAATTTACTCAGGTGAATTTCATCCAAATTTCGGGCCGGAATTTACCCCAGACGCAAAACTTGGGGAACGCCCAATTGCTAAAGAGGAATCCCACCAGTGACGAATCGAAAGGTCGGATCCCTCCTATTTTATTTCATTTATTAAAAAAAATAAGATTGGGTAATCCCATGTCCAGATTTCAATAAGGAGATCTAGAACTTGTTTACAAATTATTCAGTGACCGTTAAATGGTCNCCGTTAAAGATATGAATTAGTTTTAAAATACCTTTTTGATCTCTTACTCTAAAATGATGAGTTTTATTGTTCTTATCTTGTACTCGTACTTGGGGGTGCGCAAAGCGCGCCCCCTCGTACGTACTCCCGCGCGCTCCGCGCGCGGAAGCTCGTACAGAACCAAATCCTAATTCTTTTTTAATATAGAATAAGATTTGTGCATCAATACTAGACTGAGTTACTTTGAATTCTAAATAACCATTTTTGTTGACAATAAATGACCCGTCACCTTCCGTGAAACCAATAAACCAGTATTTGAATGTTGAATTTAAATTTAATGAATCACTATCGTTATTTCTTAATGTTTCGCATGTAGTCTCTGAGGAACCTACGTCATTATCATTTGATAATGTTTGGTTTCCTGCGGATTGTCCTACCATCTGAATTTTTCCGAGCAAGAATAACTCTTGAGTGGACCAGATGGTTTTAGGGTGTTCCCGCATATAGCGAAATTTAAGGAGAGCCCATTTCAAACCCTCCATAATAAACCGATATTGTAGTTTCCTGCTGATTGTCCAATCTTGTAAATTATCACCATCTAGGTATTACAAGCTCTAAGGATGTTCCAGCATATAGTGAAATTTAAGGAGAGCCCTAAACCAATTATTATTTGTTACTAACATTTTATTAATTATTACCTAATTTATATTCCATTTCAGGAATCATATAAGGTTTTACAATAGATCTTAAAAGATCCCCGGGGCTCCGCCCCGGAATCCGGGGATCGGGGGGGCGGGCCCCCCGCCCCCCGGATCTAAATTATCTTTTTTAGAACTAAATCTAATTCGCCAACAGATATTTATTATTAGTTTTAGTTCGTTTTAATTTAGTACTTAATAATCCAAAATTCTGATGTAATGTTGAAATTAATAATTCTACTTCTTCTTCAGTAAAATTATCAGTACATAAATTAATTGTTCTTTCTTTAAGTGTTCCAATAACCATCACCCATAATCCAATGAGCTAAACCAATTGGTTTTAGCATTTCATTAATATTAGCAGGAACAATTTTAGTATATTCACTTTTACCAGATTTTTTATTAATATACCAAATCTATGTAAATGAGAAAAAGCGTCGGCCGCGCAGCG